GTAATATTAGAAAGGGATTTGTGTAAAATCTATGTGTCGCTAATTAAATTAATGTAACAAGAGACAAAAATAAAGTACCAATAAGATTTAAAATATAAAATGATGTGATAATAGTATGAATTGATTGGTAAATTAAATGATGATGAAATCTAAACTAAAATAATGCGATAATAATGTAAAATAATTGGATGAAAATATAAATTAATGCTATTGGATAAAAATATAAGAAATATAGAAAAATAAAAATAAAAGAAAAAGTTTAGATAAATATTACTACGCTAAAATATAACGTGATATAGTTGATAAAAGGTAAAATAGTAACAATATATAATTTTATTTATAATCACTTAATATATTTATTATTAAAATATTTGAATTCAAATTCAAAATAAAAGTTTAATTCAAGTACAATTTGATTTTAAATCTGACTTGAATCTAATTTGAGCCAGAAATAAATTTGGTACAACATAATACTAGATACATATATATTATTTAATTAACAAAGAATAACAAAGAGCTAAGAAGTTGAATAATTACTTTTAAGATAAAAATAAAATTATTATTTATTTATTTCAAGTATTATTTATTAAATATTTCAAATATTACAGGAAACAGAAACTTTTTAACAGAAAAATAGTCTTAAACCAACAAGTAAACAATAAAAAAATAGTTATTTATTACTTAGATTTGCTAGATTTATTATATTTATCACCATTATATTTATTATCATAATTAATAATAAAGATTGGTATTATTATCAATCTATGATTTTTGTAAATAAAGATATTCACAAGATAAATGATAGTAACTATATTTATATAAAAGTATAAAATATAAATTTTTTTAAAATATGAGTTCCTATATCAAGTGACAAAGATTGTATTTATAATTTTCACAAGTAAAGCTTTTAATAGATATTAATAATAATTCAACACATAATAAATTATTATAACAAAAAAACAAGAAAATCAATAAGAATAAAATAATTAGAATAATCTGCGGTTTGATCTATTCTTTATTATTGTCAAGACCAAAGATAAATTACAAGATGTCTAATTTTTTATGTTAAATTATATTTATTTAAATACATATTAAAGTAATATAAATTTATAAGATTTGTAATAATATAAAAAATCAATAAACTAATAAAGTTATAATATATATAATATCAAGAAATAATAAATATAATATAAATTACTCTAAGTATTACAAATGAAATTAATAAAATATTAGTATTATATTAAATAAATTAGAAGAATTAATAATCAAAGATAAATTAATAATCAAAATTAAATAGATTAATAATTAGAAATCAAGAATTAATAAATTATAATAACAAATAATTAATAAAAATTATATAATAAATACTCAAAATTATTATTGATCTCAGATATAAAAAGATATTGAGTAAAATATTAAGATTTATAATATTTATTAATAAAAAAAATGAATAAATAAAAATAATAAAATACAGTCAAATCTCTCTATAGTCACACTTATTTATAGTCACACTCTTCTATAGTCACTCTATTTTGCTTTTCCATTTACATATAAACATAGTAAAAAAATTCTCTCTATAGTCACATTCTCTTTATAGTTATCAAATTTTGCTTTCCTGAGGGTGGTGACTATAGAGAGGTTTAACTGTAATACTAATCAAAGTTAATGTATTATTTAAAAAGATTGAAATAAATTTAATTAATCCACTCGCAATAATAACTAATAAAAATTAATATATTATAGTAACTATTAACTATATAACTAAATAGGTAAAAGCAAAAGCAATTCCAAATATTTTAGCAAAATTAATACTTTCATTTCTAACTAAAAATATTTTTACTAGATATGAATTTCTAAAAGAACTTATTAGTAATTAATATATAATTTTTATAATTTATATAATTTGTATGATTTGCATAATTTGTATAAACATAGATTGTAGAGATCAAATTTTGCTTTTTTGAGAGTGATAACTATAGAGGAATTTAATTATATTATAATAATTTAATTATAAAAATATTAGATATAAATACAACTAATCTTGTAATTATAAAAAAGCAAATTGTAATAATTAGTTCAACTAATAACTTAAATAAAATATTTTTAATAAAATACCTATTATTTAATTATCTTTATTATTAATATACAAAATTTAACTAAATAATATATTATTATAATAATAATATTTATTATACATTATTGAATATTTAACCAGATTATTATAGGATATTAATACTATATTATTATAGAACTGTTCACATACTAAGTAAATACAAAGAAGATATTTATTAGTAGTAGTAATATCTTATTTTATTTATTAAAATAAAAGAAGATGTATTGCACATTAATTCTAAAATAACTGAATTAAAGTCAATAACAAAAAATACAAACAGATAATTAATTAAAGTTATATTAATAATAACATCAAAAAGAGTTCTAAAAATCAAATTGTGATAATATTAAAATATAATATAATTTAAATTATTCTATTTGATATATGATAAATATGTCAATATATTATTAAACTTAATTTTAAAAAAGTCAATTGATAATATTAATAAAAATGAAGTAATTATTTATTGAACCTGTAAAATTATTGATTAATTAAAATCAAAAAGAGAAATTACTTTGCAAAATATATCAAAAACTCAAGAAAAGCAAAAAGAATATTATAATTAAAACAAAAAATAACAAAAGTTTCAAATTGATCAAAAAGTTTAATGAAAAACATTAAAGCTCAGAATTAGTATCACAACAAATTTGGAGGAAAATGATTAAGTTCATTTTATATTTATGAAAATTTTGATAAAAATACTTATATATTAAGAAAAATGAATAAAAAATTATTTAAAAATTCATATAATAATGATTATTTTAAATTATTTAAAAGACAAGAATATTTACAACTATTAATAATTATATAAGAATAATTATATAAGTTTTCTAAAATAAAACTCTTAGTTAAAGAGTTCTATCACCATGTGACATTTTAGTACTTGCTATGAGATATATTATATTATTTAAAATATATTTTTATTGAATAATTAGTATACATGTGATTTATAAATCATATATAAATCACAATCTTTTTTAATTTATATTATTTATTCTATATTTTATATTATTTTATTTTATTTTGATTATATTTCATATTATTTCAATTATATTTTATTTTATTTCAATTATATTTCATAGTATTTATATTTAATTCATATTATTCTCATATTATTAATATTAGTATAAAAGACATATATTAATTGATCTTTAAAGTCCAAATTAGCTTAATAATAATTCATAATAATTAGTTATATTCAAGTAAAAGATGTGAAATATTGAGACAAGCACTACAAGATAATTTATAAAATAAATTAAGTTTCATTCTAAATAAAATAGATTAGTTTTAGATTAAGAAGATTGAATTATTATAAATATAGTATGTATTTTAGCTAGATAAGAAATTGGAGAGATACTTTTGATAATAAAGTTTCTTTGTTTTTATTCTTAATAAATTTAATAACTAACTTACTATATGTTTGTTAAAAGAATTAATTACTTTATGTTTTCTCTTTTTGATTAATAATAAAGATTCTTGGTGAATCTAAATTACTTTTTGGTGAAATAATGATTGAATATTAAGAAACTTTGTGTTTTATTTTTTATAAATCCTTTTATAATACTTTGAGTTCTTGATGAACTCATTTTGTTCTTTGTGAATTCATTTTTTTCTTAAGTTTTTAGTAAACTTGTAAGATCGTTTAGCACTTCAACTAATATATAATAATATTAAAAGATTATTTTCACTTTGCTCATTCCTTTATGCTTTTTCATGTGATCACAGTCACTATCTACTGTATAGTAAAGATTTTCATTCACAAAGGTTACTAATAATAATAATATAACATTGAAAATATCAATTATAAATTGAAATTTAGATTGGAATTTAGATTGGTTTAACTTGTTAAATTCATAATCTAAATTATCCAAAAGTAATCTACTCATAAAAGAGAAAATAGCAATAAACTTTACCATGTTATATAATATTGTAAATTATTGAAATCCACTAATAATATAATCATAAACTTGTCATATCCAACCCAAAAAATGAATAGTTTACAAAAATTTTTATTTGAATAAGCTCTCATTCAATGAAAGAAATATCCAGGCAAAATCTCGAATAGATAATAAATTAGACGCGAATAAATAAGAATTCGCCAATATACATTAATAATAATAAATAATCTTGAAGGATCCAAAATTTTGGTATTGGTTAAATTAACAATGGTGATAGTTATATAGAGACACTTATTGATTCATTCGGGAACCAATCCACCCAGTTCCTTTTCCAGTTGATCATCAACATCCATATTATCATTAGGTATGACAGCATGTTGACTTGCTGCACCGTATTCATACAATGAATTACGGTTACTTTGTTGACGCTGTTGTGTTATTGTATCACGATCGGGAGCAGATAAACTGTGAAAAAGTTTATTAGTAAACGATTTCTCTTTAAAAAATGCAAATTGAAGATGTGTGTGTGCGTGTGTGTGTGTGTGTGTGTGTGTGTGTGTGTGTATTGTGTATGAGTACCTAGCTTTACGTCCCAATTGTGCACCATTTAAATTCATCGCTGCTTGTTTGGATGCTTTGAATGACATAACTTCTTGTGCAATCATTTCTATCCAAGAAATTTTTTTAAGAATATACCAGAGCAACTACAGTACATACGATATCTAATCTAAATATTCTTACTTTTCATGTCCTCTATTGATTCAACGCTTTCAAACGAGAAATCAAACATACTTTCATGTACCGGCTGAAAGATAAAAATTATATAAATTTCGAGATTGATGATTAATAATTATCATCACTCACCTCATCTTCTTCGTCATGATAAGCAGCCAAATAAGGATGTGATAGAGCTCCTTCGACTGTTATCCTTGCTGCCGGATCAAATTTGAGCAATTTCTCCAACATATCGAGCGCTGAATTCAAAATTAAATTAATTAAAATTATGTTTTAAAAATGTTTTTTTTTTTGTTCATTAATTACCTAATGGATTTGCTCTGGAATATAATTGCGAAAAAGGAATTTTTGGCATTTTTGGTAAGCTTCGAATATATACTTGAGCCTATATGATGTTTAGGTTATACGATATGATTTTCTTCAAGTTCTATTTATCTATTTATATATAGATAAAATTATCAGTTGTTATTAATTACCCTGTCACTTCCAACCCTTCGAAGTGTTTCTTCATCAGGTGTTCCCAAAATACCCAGAATTTGATTTAGTTGGTCAACATAATCTCGGCCTTTGAATAAAGGTTTTCCTCCAAGCATTTCAGCAAAAATACATCCAACCGACCACATGTCAACTACAAATTCGAATTCCATAATCAATTTAGTGCGCGCATGGAAGAAATGATAAATTAATAGTAGAGAAAGTTCTAGTCTAATAATAGAATTGAAACATACTTGCTTTGGTGTAGTTTTGAAAACTCAGCATGATCTCGGGAGCTCTGTACCATCGGGTTGCAACGTATTCGGTCATGAAACCAGCATTGTGATCCGGTGAATCTGAAAACCCTCGAGCCAAACCAAAATCGCAAATCTAAAAAAATTACAATATCAATATAATTATCAATGATGAAAATTTTGGCGACTAAATGCTTGACAAATGAATCTACCTTCAATTCACAATCTGCATTGACAAGTAAATTACCTAAAAAAATTTCAAGAATATCAATTTTATAAGAACTTCATTTCGAATTGAGATTTGCATTTCAAGTTAATTAAAACTTACCAGGCTTTAAATCTCTGTGTAATACATTGGCGGAATGAATGTATTTTAACCCTCGACAAATTTGATATATAAAATATTGAAAATGTGCATCCGTCAAAGGTTGTTCAGATCTTATAATCTGATGAAGATCTGCTTCCATCAGTTCTTGAAAAAGGTATCTTTTATATATATATGTGTGTGTGTGTGTGTATGATGATAGTAGAATAAAGAAAGTTTTGAGACTAAGAAAACTATAAATTAGCAAGAAAAAACTTGCAATGAATGCGCTGATTTATGCTGTTCTTTACATTTCATTGAAATCATGGACATTGGTGATGTCCATATCCAAAATTGAAGTTATCTATAAATAATAGAATTGTTTGCATCATTTCCAAAAATTAAGAATTCACTTATTCTTCTAATGAGAATTTTCATACATTTTCATGCCCATTAAAATGTTTTAATAGCTTTACTTCTCTTAAAGCACGCTTTGATAAAATACTTTTCTCAAATACTTTGGTGACTTTTTTAATGGCAACTTGTTCGCCGGTTTCTGTGTTTTTAGCCGCACTGACATGAAAGGAAAATGCATTATCAATATAATAATTTTTACAATACAAAAAAAGCGTTAAAGGTGAAAAGAAAAAACTCACCAGACTACTCCATAAGCGCCTTGTCCCAATTCACGAATAAATTCATATTTCGAATCAACTAAAAATTGTTGATTAAGAACCGGAAAGGCATGATAAGGCATAATTATCAGGTTTGCTAATGGGAAGAAGCCTTGAAAATGTATTCGCGTATAACTTCAACCAGTAAATTTGCGTGCAATACATTCGGATCATCTTTGAAGATCCATTTGTTATTCGATATATATAATCAAGATTTGTTGATTTAGACTTAGAAATAGTAAAAAAAATTTTATTAATACTCAATGGAAGATTTGCAACCTACAAAGAAACTTCGCATAGATATTGAGGAGCAGCATGAGTTAAAACACGTTGAAATTGGGAATGAATTAGATATTTCAAAATCTTTTAATATAAATGAAGGTAATATTATTAAGTTTAATCAAAGGGAAATTAAACGATTGATAAAAACTTTTTCTAAAATAAAAATCTTGAAGATAAAGAGAGCGAAAGCTTTCTAAAGTATAGGGATCTATCTAAATGAAGTTTTTTCTTATAAAGAGTTGTTTAAAACTTAAACCTACGATGAAATCAAAAAAACAGTTATTGATAGGGATGATGCTGCTAAAGCTCAATCTGGCGATGGTTTATCAAAGTATAAATGCACAATTCGGGAAGCAGATGTGGGCATTACGGAATTCAAGAATCCTGAGCTCAAAGGATTCTTGGGTATCCTCAAATGGCGGTAAGCTGTCAAACTAAATTATTTTTGAATATTAATTTAATAATTGAAAAATTGTACCTTTAACGTTTATTGGTTAATACACAGGTACTCTGATTTTCTCGTGAATGAAATTGATTTGGATGGAAATATACTAAGTTTTGATTCAGAAATAAAGGAAATGAATAACAGTGTAAATAACCTTGAGGAAAATTATTTGTATGAATCTCAGGGAATTGCACAAATTAAGAGTGCATCATCGAGTAATACTAGTAATTTTACTTTAGATAAGAATAACTCACTGGTACGTTTAGTAGCTTTTCGATCTCGTCAATTTTTTGATTATATTAAAGAAGGAAAATTCTTTCTAGAATGATATTGAATCGGAAGAGAAATTATTTGATCCAGTTTTAATGAATCAAGTCAAGGATCTTGTAAAGGGCGAAGGAAAAGAGCAGCAGAAATTTATAAAGTCGCAAGTTAGTTAATATCATAAAACATCATATGGTTTTTTAGTTTCTTACGTTTATTCTTAACAAATTTTTGCCATTTTTAGCCGATATTAAATAAAAATGAGCGAACCAAATTGCATAAATTCATCAATAAATACTACGGTGAAAATTTAAATTCGACCACTACAGAAGAACAAAGCATTCTAATAGAATTTCACAGCGAAAAAAGCAAAAAAGGCAAGCTGCTATATTTCTTTAATATGTCGCTCTACAAGTAAATTAATTAATTAATTTATAATTTTGATTAATTAATACCAAAAGATTCAAGAAGATATAACGCGTCTAAAAAGAGAAAAATGCAAAAAGAAGAATGGGAGAAACGCGGTGGCCAATATTGTCAGTTTTTATTACTAAAAGAGAATCGAGATACCATGTCTGCTATCAATCTAATAAGCAAGCTAATGAAGTATGTGTGATTTTGATGCTTTTTCTTTAAATTTTTTTTTGTAAGCTCTCTCTTATTTTGATGGTACTATAGGATTCCATCTCGATCGTTTTCTTATGCTGGTACTAAAGATACTCGTGCAGTTACTGTTCAACGTGTTACGGCTTTCCGAGTAAAAGCCGAAAGATTAGCTGAATACAATAAACGATTAACTGGAATAATAATGGGAAATTTCAAGTAAATTTTTGTATGCAATTGATTACTCGGACAAGAAGCCACTATTTTTCCCTGTTCTAAATGGTAATTAATATGTTACAGATATTTGTCACAACCAGCACAACTGGGTGAACTTTCAGGAAATCGTTTTGTTATTACAATAAGGTAAAAAAATAAGAGTGTTCATACTCTATTTTGATAAGTAGCTGCTAATCATTATTTTCGAAAACTTATAGACAAGTACAAGTTGACTCGGAGGAAACACTGTTGCAATCATTGAGTTCATTAAGAAATAATGGATTTATAAATTATTTTGGCATGCAGCGTTTTGGAACAAGTTCCATTCCAACATGGGAAATCGGACGTGCACTTCTGCAGAGTAACTGGGAACAAGCCATCGATTTGATATTGAAACCACGACCTGGAGGTACCTCACAGATTTATTTACTTATCTTTGTCTATTGGTACTATTATTGATCATTTTATTATTATAGAAAATGGTCCAATTGAAATTGCCCGGAACCATTGGGCAACAACTAAAAATGCTCGAGAATCATTTGAATTGATGCCCCCGCGTCATTATTCCGAAAGGAATATCCTACTAACCTTTGCTAATGCTGGAAATACAAATTGTTTTGTCGATGCTTTTAATTCGGTATTTCTTGGTTCCTACTTTATCAAAATCAAACAGATATATATACCTGTTCATTTTTTTTTAATTCTAGATTCCACACAAATTAAGACTCATGTATGCTCACGCTTATCAATCATATATTTGGAATCGCGTGGTATCCGAAAGAATCAAACAATACGAAAGTAAATCTCCGTTGATTGGAGATTTAGTTTTGACCGAAAATAAAATTCGATTGGATCAAGACGATATTGATTTTCCTGATGCAGAAGCAACTCAAACATTTAACAAAAAGAGATCTTTTGATAATATAGAAGGATCCGCAGAACCTTTTGACAACACTAAAGTTGCTTCAAATCTAAGTAGTGAAGGGTCGAACGCGGGAATTAATTTAAAGGTGGTTACTTTTTTTTTTAAAAAGTGTTTTCAAACCTTAATATTTATTTTTGTCAATATCTTTGACTTTGAGCAGATAAAAGTTCTTACAGAAGAGGATTTGCCAAAGTACACCATAGAAGATGTGGTTTATCCCACGCCAGGCCACGCGATTATTTACCCAAAAAATGCGATATTTGAAAAGTATAAAGAATTTATGATGAAAGACGGACTCGATCCTATGGACATGACAAGAAAAACAAAGTATGAATATTTCTTTCCATTCTTTAATCTCGTGTAAAATCACGTCAATTTTATTCTCGTTTTTTTTAATAGAGATTTTTCTTTGCCCGGAACATATCGAAAAATTGTTTTGAAGCCTGAAGCAGTTAACTGGTTCGTGTAATTTGTTATTTTTAAGTTAACTCAAAAGAATACACACCTCGAATATGTATTGAACGTGTCCATCACTTACTCAGGTCAACAATTCGATATGATGACCCAATTGCTCAGCTGGCTATAACAGATTTTGATAATTTACACGGAAAGAAACCAACCATAGGTGTGCCAGGTAAGACTTATACAATTATTGATTCTTCGTCTTGAAACTAAACTTATTAAAAAGTTCTCGTTTTATTGTGTATATTCGTTTTGGAAATTTCTAGATGGAAAAAATTTGGCATTACAAATCAGCTTTATCTTGCCGCCTGGAATATACGCAACCATGGCGATACGAGAGATTATGAAAAAAGACACAAGTGCTGCTGCACAATATAATATGCAAATGCAGACTTGAAGTATATATCTGTGACGAACGTTAATTTTATTTCTTACACAAAACCTCTTATTGATTATCTCGAGTTATTATTTGGTGATTGTAGATTTTGTGAAAAGATATTTTTTTATGTTTTTTTAAATAGAAGAAACTTTGAAAATAACACAAAAAAGTAGGAATCTCGTTCTCTCGAAATTCTTTTAAAAAAATTCACACGCGTGTACTATTTGAGCTTTGATGCAGTGTTATATCATGTGACGATCCACCACAATTATTTTTAATATACGCGAAATTCCAACTTCACTCTCTACAATTACAACAATGTCAGAAAAGGTACAAATAAAGAAAATAATTTACTTTGCTTATCCCGTTTCTCCAAGAGCTACTTCTATCGAATATATGTTATTGTGAGCTGTGATATACTGTAAAGTTTTAAATAAATAGAACAACTTGGTCACGAAGCCTTCTTAATTATCTAAATATATCAATATGCGTGAACTTTGAAGACTCGCACAAGCTTCAAGCCTTCCTCTTCTACGGGGGGAATCGCTTCACGTTCAAATAATATCGATAAAAGAACCTCATATTCATCTGCCGCGATAAAAGACTTTACAAATATTGGATCTTTGTCCCTGCAATTACAAGAATATACCATAATAGAGGACTTATTATTTGTTATGATGGTAGTTGAACGTTTATATAATTTGATCTCTAAATTTTAATTCTAGCTTGATCTTATTTATCATTGAATATACATATTTGTTTTTTAGGGAATCGAAGGCAAATATATTTACGTGAATCGTTCAAGTAATTTGTCAAGTGATAAAGAAAATAGAATCAAAGGTCTTGAATATGTAGTGGATAAGTCTTTGGGTAATATTTTTTGCTATTTTTAGATATTTTTCCATATTTTTAACAAAGTAACATCACATTGTTAATGAATTCATAATTTGATAGACACCTCTTTAAAAGATTTAACTGAGCGAATTATACCACTTGCAACATACTACACTTCAATTGATGCATTTATAGAAATATATTCAGCTTTTGAGTATGGGTTTGTCAATCATGCATTATGTGCTGCTATCAAAGGACTATTAAAGGTAATAATTAATGCTATTATGACCATTGTGTTAAGCAGTACCTCCGATTTTATTATTAATTATAATTATATTAAATATACCTTGGTCAGGAATATTTAGTACTTATCACGCAATTAGAGCATCAATTTCGAACATCACCTTCATTTACCCTTCAGAAATTCTGGTTTCACGTGCATCCTACTTTGCATACAATGTCCAATATACATTCGTTGGTGATGGAAGTTCATGAAGTCGGACAGGAAGCAATGGAATCAGAAGAAGATGAAATGTTGATTCTTGAAGAGTATGGGAAAAAGAGCGCTATTCCGGAACAAGTGAAAGGTGGTGGAATCCTTGGTATTTTGGCGGAGCGACTGACTACCATGAGTGGGTATGTTTTTTTCGAAACTCAAATCGGTATCATAGTAACTATTCGATATGCTTATTTATACAACTTTTAATAGAGATCCAGGCACGAAAAAACTCTACATTTATTTATTATCTAAAGCCTCACAACCCTACGTATCAATGCTACACTCTTGGATACATCATGGGGAAATTCGAGATCCCTATGAAGAGTTTATGATACAGGAACGGAAAAATGTCAAAAAAGAGAAACTCAAAGAAGATTTTAATGATTCTTACTGGGAACAAAGATACACTCCACGAGAAGGTACGATACCACCTTTCTTGGCGCCATTCAAGAATAAGATATTGTTGGCTGGTAAATACTTGAATGTCATTAGGGAATGTGGGATTCCCATCGAAGAGCCAAAGAAAGAAAATAGCGAGGAGAGTAATGAAAAGCCAACAACTGTCGATAGAACAGATGTTAGTGTGAATAGTGATATTCTATTGGCGATGGATGGTGGGAAGTTCGTATCTATTTTAAATATTAATATCACTTTGAGAGACTTTACCAGGAAATCACATAGTTGTTTTAATTTTTATTAGGTTTGTAGAGCGCATTGAGATAGCATATAAACGTGCTAATCGGACTTTACTGGATCAACTACTAAAAGATCAACAGCTTCTAGCTCGATTAAGGTGATTATTTCTTAATTATCATAATTGACTACCCACAATACTTTCCCTTATTATTTATTCATTTCTATACTTCAAAAAGATCTATAAAGCGATATTTCTTTCTTGATCAATCCGATTTCTTTACTCATTTTCTGGATCTTGCTTCCACTGAGCTTAAAAAACCTTCCAGTCAAGTATCTTTGACAAAACTACAATCATTGCTTGATTTAGTTCTACGCAATCCATCTTCAGTAGCGTACACAGATCCATTTAAGGAAGACGTAAAGGTGGAAATGAGTTCAGTAGGATTGGTAGATCAGTTGCTCCGAATTATTAATGTTGCCGGAATGACCGAACCACTTCCCACTTCGACTTTTAATCGTGGCCCACGCGAAACCTTCAATATACGCAAAGAAAGTGGCCGGATTGGCGAGGAAAGTGATGGAGATGGATATGAGGAAGCAGATCGATTAGGGTATGCTCCTAGCTTGGTTGGTAGTGTGACTAATAGCTTGACTGGAAGCATTACTGGTAGTAGTAATAGTGGAGGAGGTAAACAAGCTTTGACTGGTATGTTATAAAATAATTATCTCGAGAATATCGTAAATAATACATATCGACTTGACTTTTTTATGTTCATGTCTTAATAATACACGTAATAAGGGATTGAAGCCTTATCATTGGACTATACAGTCATTTTTCCACTTTCGTTGGTTATATCACGTAAAGCACTTACAAAATATCAGCTACTTTTCCGGCATATACTCTACCTGAAGCACGTAGAACAAATCCTTTGTAGCATTTGGACGGAACATTTCAAGTCTTATTATTGGCGTGAAAGTAGCGGTCATCCAGGCGTCGAAGCATGGAAGAATCGACTGTATGTCCTAAGACAACGCATGCTTGTATTTATCCAGCAGTTTGCTTACTATGTCACTAATGAAGTATTGGAACCGCAATGGCGTACTTTGGAAGCTAATTTTGCAAAAGTAATTAGTTTTTGTCTTATGTTTCTTAGAAATATTTGAAGCCATTTCTCGCGGATTTACATCAGCTCATAACTCATATTAGGTATCCACTGTAGACCAGGTACTCCAATACCATACCGATTTTTTAGATACGTGTCTCAAAGAATGCATGTTGACAAATGCAAAACTATTGCGAGTAAGTGATAAAATGGAATTTACTAAGTAATTGTAAATGTGACTAATCTAACTTTGCATCCAATAATAATCCAGATATACTCAAAACTAGTTTACGTTTGTGTCTTATTCGCAAACTACACGGATAAATTCACGAAAAGTCTAATAGGCCTCAAGAGTCAGCTAGCGGGGATAAATTCAAACACCAGTGGTAGTAATAATATTAGTACAGTCTCGTCATTATCCTCGCACGCGTCATTACAAACAAGTATTGAACAACAAGAACGAACGCTGTCTAAATTTGAAGATAACTTTGTATATCATGTCAGATTGCTGATTGACGCGTTAAATTTCTACTCGGCCACAGAAACTGTTCAATTTTTGTGTTTGGTGGTTCGACTCGATTACAACCAACATTATAGTCAAAATAGTGTAGGCAATGCAAAGATACATTAATAACAATAACGATTAAGATGTAGACATGCGTTATTAGATTTTGATTTTGATTTCTATATGAATTAAAAAAAAACATTAAATAGGCCGAACAGTCCAAATCCAATTATGAGCAAAAAGCTCGATAACATACTAATCCTTCATTTGATCTCAATACGACTTCTTTTGAAGCAGCAGCTATGAAATAAACATTTCCCATTTCTATAATTTTTTCCGGGCCTTTAGCCACTATCATAATGCCTGATCCCTCGGTCACAATTATAATACTAGGGCCATTAATCGGTGCGAAACGTTCTTCATTATCCCCAGCAGGCAATTGTGTCAAAATCACGGAGAATTCGTCTATCGGTGGGTCATAGAGTAGCGAGTGTTTTGATATAGATGGTTGATACGATTCTGGTTGTAGAATTTGTGATTTGGCGCTGCCATAGCGATAGGTTAACATTTTCACCAAGACGTCTACATCTTTGAATTTAGGTGTAAGACCAGCACGAACTACATTATCACTGGCTGCCATGCATTCAACACAGTCTGTTATGAAAATAAATTAGAAAATCTAATTGAATATATGACGTAAATCAATCAATAGAGAATTTGTAGTATTCATACCTCCGGATAAATACGCGTGTGGTTCATTGGCGCCTAAAAAAATTGCTTGTCCAGGTTCTAATCTTACATAGTTCAAGAGAAAGACACAAAAAATTCCCACATCACCAGGAAACTGTTGATTCAAACGTACTACCAATTCCGAAACAGATCCCGACTCTAACTTTGATGGTTCGTTTTCTTCCGTTAATCTCGTAGCTAATCTCTTGACTTGATTTGCGATAGTATTAGCATCTTGTGTCATCAGAAATGCAAATAACTCTTTGAGTGCGGCTTTGTTGCGCTCAATATCCTCGGGTAATTGGGAAACGGTTTCGATGTAACGGTTAGCAATTTCGTTGCTTACAATCTCTCTGAATTCGGGATAGACATCTAGATAATTTGCGATTTCGTTTAATGAACGAAATCCACATAACGCTTCGAATGTAGTGATCGCTACAGCCATTTCAGGTTTATGATTGGGATCTGATGAACAAAAAATTTTATTGGAATTTTCTTTTAAACTTTTTTAACTTAGATAAAATTTTGACCTTTATATATCTTTGGAAACTTTTCAAATAACTCTCGACCAAGTTTCTTATCAGGATGCGCTTGAATCGAGAGCGCTTTTGACACAGACAGCACTTTGAACAAGAATGGCAGATCATTATCATATTGCTGAGAAATTTTTGAAGAAAGATAAAAATATGGATTTTGTGCAATCACATCTTTCAAGGATGTAGTTTGGTCTTTTACGAGAAGACTTGGTCCATTGGGATGAGTGCCCATCCAAAGCTTATCATTATACAAAAATTGGTCAATATAATTTTGTTGATTTTTCTGCTAACAAAAGAATACGAACCTCTGCATAAGCCTTCGACTTATCAATTTTAAACCCATCGGGAGTTTTTGCAGCAAATTGAGCAACTTTGCTTTCTTCACCCAACTTTCCCCAATCATAATTTTGTACTGCACATTTCAATTGATAAACATCGGATAATGTAGCATTTGACATGTTTGATTTCGATGATCAAAAAAAAAACATCACGATCAGTCTATTACTACTACCAATACAGGTCTTGTGTGTAACACTAAATGAGAATTTTCTTTATAGTACTTTTACGTTATCGTTATCAGATAAAATATTCTAATGGCAACCAATCTGTCCATTCATACTTCTCGAAACTCTTTAGAACATAAAAAGTGGTCTCCTTTACCTGAAAATGAAGAAAACTCATCCAGCTTTGCGCGAACACAGCTACCTTTCCCGCCTCCTTTAACTCGTGAAATGTTTGCAGCTGCTGATTTCAACTGTGACAAATTTCTCGCAAATCGGCGGCACTTGCCTCTCGATGAACTAAAGCGTGAACTAAATGCACATTTAAGGAGTTTGAAAAATGAATTGGTTGAAATGATCAATAGAGATTATGCGAGTTTTGTTGACTTATCGACGAAATTGAAAGGGGTCGATAAGGTAATTGAGGAAATATCTCAACCTCTAAGGAAAATGCGAGAAGAAGTTCAGGCATGTGTCTAAATAAAGAAATCATCATGGGATCTTTGAAACAGAAAAGTTGGATTAATAGATTTTTTCGATGCTATCATTTTACAGCAAGTTCGTTTCACACTTCAGGGGGTAGTAGACTCTTTGGAACAAAAATTGGCTCATCGTGCTTCAATTCGTGAAAAAAAGGTACTTTCTCAAACATAATATATTGTATTTAAATACAGTAAATGTGATAATCTTTCATTTATATAATAATAGGCATGTTTGCAACTCTTTATAAACATCTATGAATCAGTACGCAAAGTGGAAGCGCTGTTGCTCATTAATAGTGACAATAGTGTGTCATTGTCATCATCATCATCGGGAGATGACGAGAGGTAAAAGTGTTAAAATTGGTAAATAAAGTTTATTTTGTTTCGATTCTATTTTTCTATTTTCATTTTCATCTCAAGTTTTGAAAACAAAACCATTATTATAAAGTGCTAATAGTGCCAAGCAGATTGAACGTGTTGCCATTGAATATAATCAAATGCAATATCTTGTTAATAAAGGCAAAGGGTTACCATTCGTGGAAAATATTGATTGGGTAAATAATATATAATTGATGAGTATGTTTTATATATATTATTGCTCTTATATAAATATTATTTTATTCTATAGCGAATAACGAGAATAAAAGACACTCTTCGGGCAAATTTGACTGCTGCATTACGATCAGCATTACAACCAATGAAAATTGAAGCAAACTATACCTCTTCAAAGGACACTTTAACTCAGATATTACGCACATATGCATTAATTGATCAGACTAAGGCAGCCGAAGAAGTTATACGTGAAGAAATGGTTAAACCTTTTGTTCAGGTGGTACGTAAGTGTTAAATTAAAACTCATTATATGAAGTAAATACACGTTTACATTATGATATTTTTACTTTATATTTATTAGACGGTTACACGACAATTCCTAGAAAAGTCTCCTCAACCAATCTTGATACCTTCTACCAATGTCGTATCCCCTTCTCAATCCACATTTTCTCCTACTTCAAGAACTTTTGCTCCGCATGCTTTTCTATCGTCCTCTAAAGATCCATTAGCCATTATGTATAACAAAGTACTTGGCTTTATCAGCAATGACTGTTTCCTGCTTCTCGAAATTACTCGTAAGGTTCTCAAGGGAACAAGTTATGAGATATTGGTCAATTCTGTATGGGTAGAAGTCGTGGAGTCGATAATGAAAAGATTGCTGATTATTTTTAATCCAGGAAATCCCAATGTATTTCATAAGGTTTTATCGATATTTAATTTTATTTATCTATTTCAATTTGATTCTTTTATATATTAATGTATTATTTTACGTAGAACTATACAATATCAATGAATTTTGTATCAAGTATTGAAAACATGTGTTACTCCAAAAAGACATTACTATATCTACGTACGCATCCCACTTACTTGGAATTTATAAAGAGGTGGCAACTGGCAGTCTATTTTCAACTACGGTAAATTATATTCTCCATTTTTTTTTAATTCTCATTCATGATTTTTAACATCATAATTTTTTTGATAGTTTCAGAGAAATATCTTTACAGGTTGAAAATACCTTGAGTTTGGGATTGATACTGTCAAGCGAAACAAACAATGAATCACACGGTTAGTTGTTTTATCTGAATATATTATTTTTTAAGAAACTAATTCTAATTTAAGAGAATCTTTTTTAATAAAAAGATTCATCTGAAGTTAAATTATTGGCTACAAAATCAATTATTACAGCCATAGAACGGTGTTGGTCCGTTGACGTATTCGTCTACGGGCTATCGCATCGATTTTGGAAATTAACATTACAGGTAATTAATTGATTTCCTTAATAAAAAGATCACGTTATAATTTAAATTCGTTTTTTCCAGCTAATACAACGGTACAAGAATTGGTTATCATTGATGATTGGCGATTTAGGGGATTCTAATTCATCAGCTAGTGAAAAGGTTCGTTAAGTAAGTTATCTTGTTTTTGATTTGCCCAAACCGGCCCCGAGAGATCTCCTGGGGCGGGGACATTAACCCCAAGTGAAAAAACTGAATAACTGCTATTTTACCTTACTTAATATGCATATTATTTATTAAAAGCAGTCTTCAAATCCCACAATGATAAGTTCATCATCGAGTCGAACATCATCCGGTAGTCCTACACCAAGCTCTGTTTCGATTAGCGAAGCATCAGAGGAACAGATATTGAAGCAGTTAGCCGTGATTACTTTTGATATCGAAAATTTTACCATAAAGGTTTGAGCAGTCTATTTTATAAGACAAATTGGTTTATCCGAATTATTATTATTAATCAGTTTTCCGTTTTGTTCATTAGATAAAGCAATTATTTCGAGAAGTAATTATGACTCAGTTACCACCGCAGACGATGGACGAGCCATTAATAGAAGGTAAAATCGTGAATTAAATACGACAAAATCTTTAGAATTTTCTTGAAATGATTAATTAAAGAAAAAATTCAAATATTAGAGAGTATCAAAATCTCACTATTGTCAATACAGTCTGATATACCAGAAGTTAGTCGTACAGTGACCACTATACTGATCAAGCGTTGTGCAGAATATTTACGACAAACGCGAGGAATAATCACCCAGTATCGGTACAAGAACAGAGAACCGCCCACAGAATTCTCTTATTTTGTACCGACAATCATGAAACCACTCATTGTGTTTTGTGATTTGAATCAGCACATATTGACGGAATCACGTCGAAAAGAATGGAGTTTGATGGTTGCTGAAGGTGTCACAATGCGGTAGGATGTCATTTCGATATTATTATTGTGAATACTGTTTAGCAAGGTAGAATAATTTAACTAAATAATTAATATTAATATGATCAGATACTACAAGAATGTAAGCGAAACACTCGCTACATTCAAAAGAACTGAAGAAAGTCACAAATTCAAAAGGAATCGCGCTGCTGGAAATAACAATGACACCGCAACATCTATGAATGATGAAGATAAGATGAGATTGCAAATCTTTTTGGATGTGAAACAGTTTGGTAGAGAGGTATGTATAATGAGGAGATTTTTGTTAGTTGCATACGTTTATTTTTGATTACATTGCAATAATAATTGCGTATTTTTTTAGTTGGAAAATTTAGGAGTTGTGCTTGCAGATGTTGCAAGCTATGCAGAACTGTTTAAAGCTGTCGAGCCTTATGGTAAGTTTTAGCCAAAAAAATATATTATGATTAAATTTCCTATATTTATGTATAATTTTAATTTTACAGGAGCAATTGGAAGACAATAATATAGGATAGAGTATTGATGTATTTATTATTACTAGAAAGGCTATATTAATAGAAATAAAATCAATATATTATTAAAATTAAAGAAAATTATTCAATTTTCTATTTTACCAATTGTTTCTGAAATTGGATGTAATAACAATATAATAGGTTGCTATTTGACTATTAATATTCAGTCATATTTTTTATCTTGGTCTTTTTTACCGGTTTCTAAAGCAACACCATTACCAATAACTGCATAAGATTGACCGCCATTATAAATATTCATCCATTCCACTGCTTTATCCCATGAATGTCTACCAAATAAACGATACTACATATACACATTAAAAATTCAAATAAGGAATCAGATAACCATGAAGTGTCAATCAAATCCACGCTTTTATTTTCATAATACTAAATAAATTACCTGAATCGGAGTAATTATACCAAAAAAGTAATTTCTCCAAGCTTTAAACCCGTATTTCAGAAACACTTCTTTACTAGTCGGCAGACATCCAATATCTTTAGCCAATAGATCCATCATCTCAACAAACGGTGATTCGACGGTGTGTCTTGCAGAGCTATAAAAAGTTTTTTGAAGGAAATTTTGGTAGTTCTCGACCCATTGGTCCATTCTCTCAGGTGATGGTGGAGTTATGTGACCTCTGATTATGCTAGTGGCGTAACGCGCTTGTAATTCACTAATTGAAAAGAAAAATATTTTAACGTAATAATAAGTTAACATAATAAAAAATAGATTATGATCACTTACGTGACTGGAAATATAGGACCATTAGGTTGAACTAATCCCAAAAACGCGATATTCTTATAACGCGGAGGAAACACCAATTTATACAACCAAGCTAAATTTTCACGATACTCTGGATCAAACTTTTCGATTTCTTTTCCACCCGTCAAAATTTCTCCGTCCAAAAATGGAAAAGAAATATGATATCCAGTACAGTATATAATTACATCAATGTCTTCAATCCTGGTCCCATCCACAAATTCGACGGATTTATCTTCATTCAATTTAGCGATATTCTGTTTCACGATAAGAGTCCCGGTGGAAAGACGCTCATATAATTCGGTTTTTATTGTTGCATGATGCGCACTAATTGGGTATTTTGGTTCCAGACCGGGCGGAGGAGGTCCAACTGTGAAGTAAGAAAGTTTCTCTCTGAGGAAATTCTGAAGTTTAGAAGGGAGAAAATGCAGAAAGCGGTTGTCTAGGTGATCAGGTGGAATGCCGAAAATTGCTAGACGGGGTAAAATCCATGGAAGTGTGCCTATATAAATAGATAAATATAAGTCATACATGAGTTAATGCTATAATCAATCAATTAATATTATATTTACCTCGGCGAGCAACAATGTACGCTTGGGAAGCAATAGTACTCAACTCTACGGAGATATCCATTCCACTATTACCACACCCAACGATAATTACGCGTTTATTTTCAAATGCTTTTGTACTAAGATAGATAATTTTTGTCAATTCAAATTATATTCAATACGTGTATAAATGCTTACAGATGTTCAAATACTCACTCTCGATAAAAATGTGAATGTATTTGCTGACCACCAAAGTTATCCATTCCTTCATATTTCGGCCAACGATGCTTACGATGATGACCAGTACACACCATCACATAATCAAATATTTCTTCCTTCTCTTCTTCTCCTTCTGTCACGTATTTGACCTTCCATCGATCATCGGATAGATTTGAGACGCGTAATACGTTTGTTCGGAATTTAATATATTGGTCAAGTTTGAAATGTTCTGCGTACATTTCGAAATATCTGTAAATTATTCAAATAGCATATATTCATTTAAATTAAATTGAATTAACTACAACAAATAGGTTTGTTAATCACACACTTTAATACTAGATGATGAGGTAAGTAAGTTGGCCAATCGTGAGGAATTGGATAATCGGAAAAGGTCATCTAATCAATCATTAATTAATTATATATTTTCATCTATATTATTCCACTTAGTTGTTCAAATACCGTTTCTTTACTAGTATTTATAACAGTTGTCCTGAAGACCGAAGAATGTGGATCTTTGTTCTTTTCGTCAATTTCTTCATACTTCCATAATCCACCAACATGAGAATTTTGTTCAAAGCAAACCGGTTCCAAATTGTCATCAAGACATTGTTTCATGGCCGTTAGACCACTCGATCCTTTGTATATAAACATTATTTGACAAAGAATCCAGGAAAAATCTCATTTGAATGCCATAAGGAATAGTTTAATAAATTACCTGCTCCAATGACCGCGACTCGAGGCTTGTAGTCACTCGTGCTGCTAGCGGCAACGTTTTCACTATTTGCTGTTCCTGAAGTATTAATAGACACCATGACTTGACCACGAAAATATCAAAAACCCTCTCATTTATATATAAAAATCCTCTATTACTAATCATGTTTAAGTGCCACTGATGCACGCCCTGGTGTTCAAGCAGAATCTACCAGGACATGATGACCAATTAAATTGCAAGATCAATGTGTAACACAAAAATTCAAAAAAAAATAAACAAAACAAAGACATTTTTAATCTAGTTTATGAAACTATCTTTTGTGTTCTAATAAAAAATTTTCCTTGCGAAATTTTACTATACTTACATTTTTTGTTTGCTAAAGATCCAAATCCTAACCCTTTTCGCATAATATCCTAGCCACGGCAAAGAAAAGTGTCAGTCACGTGATGATATATTAAAATATTAGAGATCAAGTATTAAAGTTAGAATTAGAGTTCTGTAAAAAAAATAATCAGGAAAAGATCCAGTTTTTTAGTTCCATAAAATCACAAGTTTTGTTAACAAATTTCCAGGTTAAAACCTGATAAAAATCTGATTAAAAACAGAAAAAATGAGAAACGTGATAACTTGGGATCCACTGATCCAATCTGGATGAAAATATCATCATTTAATTCATCTAGTCTTGGTGAATTAAATGGTGATATTTTTGTCTGGATTGGATCAGTGTAATTTTTTTGTTCAAAATTAAAATGAATATATTATTTTCAAACACACTATCATTAAATTCATCTAGTTTTGATCTAATAATTCATAAGATATCATGTTTCAAAGTTGCTAAATTAATTAAAAAAAACTTATTTGAATTTGAAACACTTAATTTGAAGCATGATATATCATGATTTACTAGATCAAATTTTAGCAAAATTCAATCACTATTCCAGTAAATCTCAGTAAATATGTAACTTTATTCTCATACAATTTGGTTTAGTAATTGATAAGATATTAATTCATTTTTAAATAAATAGAAAAAATAAAAAGTTTATCCAGTAACTTTGAAATATGATAACTTGGGATTCACTGAACCAAACTGGATAAAAATATCATCATTTGATTTGTCTAGTCTTGGTAAATTAAATGGTGATATTTTCATCCAGATTGATTTAGTGAATTCTGAGTTATCATGTTCCAAAATTACCAGACAAAATTTTTATTTTCTTCCATTTTTTCTGTTTTTAATCAAATTTTATCAAGTTTCAATCCAAAAATTTGTTAACAAAATGTAAGAATATTTTCTTACGTAAAAAGTAATAAGATAAATTTATTAATTGCTGTAAATAAATTATATCAATTGAGATAGTTTTCAGTT